TCGGAACTACTGACAGAGTGTAAAAACATGTGATGTAGATAGTTTATAGCATAATATTATAAATAAATTACTTTATGTACGGTACTATGGTATTTTATTTTAATCCAGGAGCTTATAAAAAAAGTTCAGGAAAGATAAGCTAATACACAGAGTACGAATTTTAAAATCAAATCGAACTGTTATAAAAGTTTTTTGGTTAAAAAAAAACTGATTGGTGTATGTAAATTTGTGTTTGATATTTATATCTTGTTAAAATATTAATTTAGTTTTATAAAGCAGCTATGAATATGAATTGTGTTCGAACATATTATATAGGGTGATTCACCAAGCATGCTTATTGCTGACCCCTTTTCTTGTTCAATTATGCAATTATTAAAACTCTAATTTTTGAATTTTTAAATATACTTAATGATCGGATTTTCTAATACCTACATGAGATTTTTCGTACTATTTAAGGAGCGTTCAGTGGACTGTGGTAATACTAACTTTTATTTCTCAAATGACAACTTCCATTTTATACAGTAAATTATTTAGTGGATAAAGACGAATCAAAATCTAAATCAAAATTTGAATTAGTGGTTTTTGAGTTATTTAACTTTTTTTTATTAAGGATTAGGATATTAGGTCCACGTTAATGGATTTGGAAGATTGGGGGCCATGGTAATATGAACATTTTAATAGATAACATAATTTATATTAATCTATGAATATTTATAAAATATAAAAATGATACAAATAAATATACAATATAAATACTACATCCATAGGTATAACACATATTTTATACTTTTGGAAAAACCATTATTAAGGACTGGTATACTTAATATAAACATTTTAAAAACTAAGAAATTACTTATCAGAATTTTTCATTATGAGTACCTACCTATATAAATATTAAAAAAAAAAATTATCCACTAAATAATTTACAGTAAGACATGGGTTTTTGTTTGAAAAAGAAGTTTGTATCGCTACAGGATAATTAGGATAAGTAAGTAATACAAAAAAAACTTATGAACTTAAAAATCAAAATTTGTATAAATTCATTATTTAATAAAAAAATGAAGGTGAGCATGCTTGGTGGATCACCTATATACCTATCGGTGTAACAGTTTACCTACGTAATAATTAAGATATTCTGAAACAGTGGCCGTTTTTGTTGGATCATAGTACTATACCATAATATTGATGATTAATGATTTTACTAAACTATTTTCCACTACAAATTATAATATTATTTTTAAATTGTTAATATTGAGATTTGTACCTATTAGTTATCAAGAATAACAAATTTGTTGTTGGTGGTTTTTTAAATGATTATACTTATCTATGAATCTTTGTACTCGGTGAAAGTTTATGTTGACGGGTGGTGATCACAACAATCTAAAAATAGATATTAAATGCAATTTTCTTTTAAATAATAGTAAAATTAAAATAATATGGGTACCTAGTTATTTTTTTAGAATTTGAATACTCTGATTGATTCAGTTAAAGTTTTAAGGATTACCTATATCTATCATTTAAAATTGATATATTACAATTAGATATTATAAAATACATTTTTTAATACCTAAAATATGGCTAATTCAAAATTTTCTGTGAGATGTGTAACATTCTTGAAGTATAGATTAGGTAACTTATTGGCTTATTTGGTATTTATAATTTTTTAATGAATAATTTTGAGCACCTTTATTTTAATATTATTATATAGAGTTACATAAATGTATTTAAATATATTTTTTGTAACTAAATTTTAACTAAAAATAACTTGTACGGTATACTTATACAATTATATAAGTTCTATTGTAAATCAAAGTCCGAAAGACTTTGAATACGTGGATTTAGAATTATTATAGATTGTGTTTGAAAAAATCCCAGTGACAAAAAAGGAGAAACCGATGAGTAGTCGGAAATCTTAAACGATTCAATATTCATATCATATAGGTATAAAATAATAATGCAGGCTGACAAAAAACCGAAATCGAATTCACTATTAAAATCTTCGGCAAAAATCGCTGGCTCATAATAAAGTAAACACAAAATTATCCCGTGTATTAATATATATAATAATAATTTGTCGTATCAGCACAATATGTTTGTCGTTATAATCCTATATAGTATTCGTCATCGACGATTTATGATACTGTATATTACTGTGTATAATATGCGAATATTATTTAGGTATCCATATACCATATAATAATGCTAACCACAAAACGTATACTCACACACTTCCACGGTGGTTGTTTTCCATATTTTTTTTTCCATATACATATTTTAGTAAATAAAATCGATTGATTGTATATTATAGTCTATGCACATTGCACGTGGTATATTATTATGTATTGGTGTTTTTTTATAATATATGAACACTATATAAATGTTGTCGCGTATTATATCGACGGAGGAAAAAAAAAGTAGTTACAACAACGAAAAAAAAAAATCACGGTGGCATGTAAAATATGCGTCTGGTGTTATTGGTGTATTAAAGTGTATAAAAATAAATAACGATAAATATATGTATATAATATATAGTTTATAGTCTCGCGATTACAACGACGGGGTTATAAAAAATAAAAAAAAAAACGGGACGGGCTTCGGCACAACCGCATTATTCGCCGCCGACGCCCCTGAGTCGTTTTTACGTCGTCCATCGTGCCCATTAAAATATGTATATACGTATTATCATATATATAATATGCATTTATATATATACATATATGCATTTATAGGTATGTGGTAATGTATGTACCTTAATGACGCGCGTATATACATTATACAGGGTGATTGATTACTAGGTTTCTGTACGGAGTAAAGATACATACAGGGTGTTTCTGAAATGGATGCGGTCACTATAGTATACCTATATGCGTACTCACTAAACTCAATAAAGATTTTTTTTTTACCTTTTTAAGAATATTATCTCAAGTGTAAAAATAAACATTTGAAGCGATTTTTGAAAATTTTCGTACGAATCGAAGCGTTACATCGTTTTTGCGCTTGTCGCGAGTTTACCATTCTCGAGTCGCTGACTAAAAAGAAGTAGTGTGACACATCGATTTGTATGAGAACACTACAAGGTAAACAGTGGTGATAGTTATTTGTTGTAATTTAATATACATGATTAATTAGCACAGTATGTTTTTCATTGTCAACTAATAGTAATGTTGAAATAATAACAAACTTTAATTCTGTTTTAAATTATCCAATTTATTGCCATACATTTATAAGTAATGTGTATTAGGTGTAACAGGTCTTACGTTACATTTTAAATTTGTAAGTATAGGATTTTATTTATTTAAAATGACAAATTTATTTAGAAATCTTACTATTCTGTAATTTTGAAGAATTTTGAAGTATTGTCTTATAAATAGCTGCGCAGGTTCTAGGTCACTTTGTACGGTCGAGCATTAAAAGTGCGAAACGCGGACACTTTGTACGGTCGGGTAAAAATTTACATTGCAGAACGCCGACATTTTGTACTATTATATACATAAAGTATATATATTATAAATATAAGTTATATACCTAAGTAGTAAGTATATATAATATTATAAATTATAATGTAAATTATTAAAATATAAAAATTAAAAATAAAAAGTAAATTGTTTCATCGTATATTAATAATGATCAAAACAATCAAACAATCAATAATATTATTATAAATCTTAATTGTATTATAATATTAGAAATCAGTTTAAAGCAAATTAAAAATGTGTACAATATAAATATGTCATAATGACAAATAAAATATAATAATGAAAACTAAATGCATAGTACCTATAATATGGAAATATCTCAAAATGACAAGTAAAGTATAATATTGACAAACATTTTAAAAAACTACATAATATTGTATACTGTATAGTATAATAATATGAAAATATGTCAAAATGGTATCAAGCTTAGATAAAAAGTGCACATACATAATTATTTAATATTAAGGGTTTAATAAATCAATTTTAAAATAATTATTTACTTTCTAACTTAGGTATATAACTTATATTTATAATATATATACTTTATGTATATAATAGTACAAAGTGTCCGCGTTCTGCAATGTACCATTTTACCCGACCGTACAAAGTGTCCGCGTTGTACATTTTGAACAATGGACCGTACAAAGTGACCGTTTACCAGCTGCGCACTATCGTCACAAGTCACAACTCCCAGTATTTGCACTAAATACGTATATTTTTTTTTAGAAAAAATAAAAAATCTATTTGTTTAAAATGATTAATAACTAAAAAAATAACAACTAATAACTATAACGATAGTAAAAGAATTAATTTTGATCCGCAGTCGATGTCAATTTGCCGTTATATCCCCCTATCACTATTAATAAGTTTATAGGTAACAGAATCTTTCACATCCCCATCGTCGGCACTTCTGCCATCACTGTTCGTCACTGGCCGCTGCGGTAGTTATACTACCAATATAATATCTGATATCGATACTGATAAATACATTCTATTCTATTTAATTTTTTTACGAGATTTAATTTTATTGGCTATATAAATTAATAATTATTACTCAATGCAAAAAAACATATTGAATATTGATGGATAAGATAATTAATTATCTTAATTTATTAGTAAATACCACGCTAATGGTAATAAGACTAGGTAATAAGAACTAGTACAATTACTTTGAATTACTGGACAACGAATATCATCTTAGATACAAATACGTATCTATTGCGACAAATTGATAATTTATAATAAAATATTAACATCAAAGAAGAAACAGCGTCCATTTTTTTACAAGACTTTGGAAACTAGTAGACACCAAGTAAATCATAAATTTTTAATTTTAAGTCAGAAAAAGCGTGTTATCCTAAGGTATTAAGATGTAGACATGCCCACTCTGTATACAATATACACATTATATTTTAAAGCATAATACATAATAATAATAATATTAACCTAATATAGCATATTTCCCAATAAGTACGCGTCTTAATCACGGTTTAAATAGTTTCTTTTTTTTGTTTTTGTCCTCAGTGTTATAGCGGTTGTCTGAACGAGCGGTGGATTAATAAGCCGGGCGAGTGTCCGGTCGGCGACCTTGACAGCGTCGCCTCGCTGGACCGACCGTGTCTGGAGCAATGCAATTCCGACGACTTTTGTCAAGCCGAGTACAAGTGCTGCCGACACAGCTGCGGCATAACGTGCCAACAGCCCGTTGGCCTAGCCGAACATCGTCCGGGTACGTTATATACCTATCTATTATGATTTATAAGTTTATATACATATTTATAATACACCACACTGTTATAATATTATATTACCGTGCAGTCGTCTCTCGGACCTCGGTAATTCGAATTTTCCTATATCTAAATTTGGTTTCTCGAGACAAATATTACTCAAATCTTATCCGATTTGTTAAACCAAATCGTTTACAATATTAAAGTTCTGCAGTTATAGTTCTTTGCCGTCTGTTCGTTTAATAATTTATCGTGATAGTGTTTAGTTTTAGATGTGTTATTAGTTATTAGTTATTACGGTTCAAAGGAAAAAACAGATAATACTTAGAGAGTACCTGGGTGTTGATAGGTCCTTGTAGAATTGTAGGATTTTTATAACTATTTTTTTTATCGGAAAGAAGAAGACTTCCTATGGGCCGGATCGACCTCCGATTTTTTATTTTCTTTCAAATAGTGCAGGTATAATATAATTTAAAAAAAAACGATTAAAATTGTATGATTTTTGAAGACATATTATAAAGTTTGAGATTAAAATATTGAAAAACGGAGTTCGATGCGACCTGTAGAATATTACCGTCTATTAGTTAAAAACACATATTATCAAATTAATTAATTTTAAAAAACCTTCACACGTCGTTATGTCTCATTCCAAATCACAATGTTTCATTATTATTATGAAAAAGAATCAATTTCTCTGTCGTTGCATGTGTAAAGCTAATTTTAGACCCTCCTCTTCTTTTTCTTAAAATATCAAAATGTTTTCCATCTAATTATTAATTATAAATATTATTTACCTTAATTTAGGTACATTGTAATTACTTATTGTTAGTTCACACAAGCTGTATGGAGTTTGTTGTTACCTAAATAAATAGATTATCACTCCTAAGTGGCGGGCCACTGCGAAAAACTCGAACCATCCTGTATATAACATGCAACTGTGCCGTACAAGTACAAATTATCGTAAAATATATTATATCGTTTTGGGCGCCGTTATGGTTATTCGTTTCTATTTTTACGGGCTTGTTATAGACACGGTGATTTCAGTTTTGATGTATTTGCAATGCACATAACATTATATAATGGTATACCTCTATATTCGCACTAACATTTCGTATGGGTACCTACATGGAAAATAAAAAAAACGGCCACTCCTATGACGTTATTTGGTACATAATAATTTATTACCGTATTTTGAGATGGCGGTAAATATAATGAATTTTGTATCGAAAATGACTTTTGGGCGTATTGCACGAACAATTTAACAATGATTTACTACGTAATAATGTCTAAGGACCTATTTTCAAGGACTTCTTCCTATATAAATAGTATAGGATCTAACGTGCACCGGACCCCGCCTAATAGAGAAATATATATTTTTCAGTAAATTTATGAGCAAACAACATTTTATTTTTACATTTTGTAAATGGCTACCCAGTTATTTTTTTTGAAACCATAAAGGCATAAACTGTTCACTCAACTTTTTTAAATTTAAATTAGCTAAATGTCTACTTGGTTGCTTTTAATAAATACTAATTATTAATTCAATTTATACATCAGTTTATCACTATATTATCAAAATATCAAATAGATTTTATCGTTTATCATTTGACTATAATATTATTGTATAACGTGTAATTTTCTTTATCGGTACAGTTATTGACGATATTTTAAAATATTGGTCGATAATTAATATTTTGATATGCATGTTATAAAATATAAAATCAAAAAACATGGTTTAAAATGACATGTAAAAATTACAAGAACGTTATGGCAATATCTTTGATTGTTGATAAATAAAAATAAGATCATCGTTGTAACAAAAGTGGCTCATATAATACTGCAATACGTCCCTCGATATTTTTTTGTCGCCAATGTGACGTTGTTATGTACTGTATTATTGTATTATTGTTATTATGTGTTCTAAACTAAAAATAAACTTAGATCAAACACCCTAGAGGGTTAGATAAATCCAGAGGGTGGAGTTGGCAACCTTAGCCCGCTAGTTATATCATTATATTTACTACAACGAATCGACCTTTGTAGGCCTTATATTATATTGAGTGAGGCATTTAAACGATTACATTAATTAATCACTACATTGTACAATATCGTGAGTCAATATATTTGCATTTACGTAGAAAATATTTTTTTTATTTACCGACTATTTAAAGCTTTAAAAAGACGACATTTTTACAAAGTATCTGATTATTTAACATAATGGTTTTTTATTTCACTATCAGCAGTAGAGTATTTTGAATGTACCTACTTATCTATATTTATATCGATAATTGAATAAACAGATTTATTTAATGTTTAGACAAGTGGAGTAAAATGGCAATTTATCATAGGAGTATCAGTCCCTCTAAAATTGTAGTTCACTACCCGGCCGTAAATTGATCACCACGCTTATAATAATATTTCTACCTTTATTGTATAATAATAAAATATTATTGATTAAACTATTGTTAAACCCATCGGTATTTAAAGTACAATATAATATTTTAACTTGGAAACAAACACGAGACAACTACTAACTTACTACAATTATTTAGCATATATTGTTATGCTAAATTTGCAATTTTTCATTAATCAACTGCTTGTATTGAAGGTTAACTTGAGATAATAAATAATAATATAAAGTAACAGTAACTGTTGTATTGTAAATGTGCAGGGCTAATTACATGGATGTTGAAGCCTTTATTTCATAAAAAAAAAATAGATATTCATACCGAGGTGCTTGCATAATCCCACTCTATTTTTACTGTCCGCAGGTCTACCGGACGTGCCGAACGTCGTCGCTGTGTCGGACTACGGTAAGGCGCTGGTGGTCGAGTGGTCAGCGCCGTTCCCGGGCACATCTGCAGGTCACGTTACGTACGTGGTCCAGGAAAGGCACCACGTGGGCGCCGCGTACGTACCGGAGCGTATGACCACGTGGGCTATGGTGACCAGGACCGACAGGACACGTGAACAGTTCCGACAGCTGCACGCGCCAGGACGGTGGTTCCAGTTCCGCGTCGCAGCAATCAACGAGAACGGCACCAGCGGATACTCTCCGCCGTCCGACCAGTTTTTTGTTGAGATCGGACCGCGTAAGTTCAGTGGCAGCCATGTCCCACATGCATATTATAGTTAGATAACTTGTTTTTTTTATTTAAATAGGTGCCTATAGGATAAGATATCTGAACACAAACATTATCTCGATATACATAAATAATTAAATGTATTACCTAGATAGAAATTAGATAATTTTTTTTACACATTATTCTTAAAAAACAAATTTTGTAACATATATTTTCTTGCTACATAGGAAATATCAATACTAATATTAGTTTAGTTTAAATTACTTATAACTATGTATGAATGTTAAATAATTTAGATAATCAAGCAAATGTATTTAGGTATCTACCTATTTTATTAGATAGTAGGGGTAGTTATAAACCAATTTTGGAATTTATTTGGATAAGATGACTAAATATGATTTCTACAATCTAGATACACTTTTCCAACTAAATCTAGCTATTGTTCAACACTGGCGAAACCGCTAAATATCGGCCACTTTGGACCCCATCCGTTCATTTATACTTAGGTAATAACAAGTGCAATTCGACCATCATCGTTTTATATCGCGATATTAAAACAATAATTATTACATCGAATAAGATATAATATATAATGATTGTAATGCGTGTTAAAGCCATGGAATGACAATAATGTATTATACCATTATGTATATACATATATATGTATAGATTTATAGGAGGCACGTGCGCCCACTAAAAAGAAACTGGGAAAGAAGTCAACAGTTTTTTTTCATGTACACGTGCAATGCGCATTTCACACTCTTACAGAATTATATTCACGTGCTTATATCGACATAAATAATTATCGATGTGTGTGTTCTGTAATGATGTATAATATAATATGTTGTTAATTGTTAATATATAGTGAGTTGCAAAATTGGACTTAGATTATTTTGTTTTTTTTCTCGTTTGTACTGGTGTGGTATATCAACAAACCACGTCTTTTATGTTTAAAATATATACTACTCACAAGACGTGTTAGGTAATACAATATTATTGTTTGCTACCGAAAATGTTATTATCGTTTTAAAATGTACCTATTACATGTGCAAATAATATTCTACATTAAACGTCTTAAAATGTACCTATTACCATATTATGAAAAAATAATATTTTAGATTAAAATGAGTGGTTTTGAAATTTTTGTTATGCCGAGGACAAATAATATAATGAAATTTCTTAATCTAAACTCTACAGCAGAACACTTTTATAAAAATTAGTCAACTCAGCCGAATCCTTGTACTTAAATAAAATATTTTAATATCGAATGAGTAGTGACACAACCGTTTGTATTGTGTACATGTACCTAATACATAAAATATACGTTTTAATAATCAGGTAAAATATTATTTTTGGTGGGAAGTGAAAGGACCGATAGTCGCCCTATAATTTACAACAAGCTTCTTTTTAGGGACGTATACCTTACTTCTGCAGCTTTTCACCGAGTGCTACATTAAAATAAATATCATTAAAAATACATATATTTTAACTTTCAATTCTATTCAATTTATTGATATAAAAAATCATAATAAGAGGTCCTTGCTCGGTCGTCCTTATTAACTAAAAATAAATAATATTATGTGAGAAATAGTTTTTAGAAAAAAATTTAACAATTAATATTATTCAGAAACTGTAACGTTTTACGTTTTTGTATCAATTGTATCTAGCACGATAACTATAAACGGATATAGAACGCTATTCGCCGGAATGTATTACCCACTACCGTAATACCGTGCTATTTATTATTTGGTAACAACGGGAGTTTACCAATTGCGCTTAAAATGACCTTTTAATATACCAATTGCGCAATGTCTTTTTTGGATCGATATACCAATTGCGCTCTGTCTTTTTAGGGTCGATAGACCAATTGCGCTCAGTTATTTTCAGGGTTTATAATATTATTCTAATATTAATATGTTTTTAATATTTATATTTTGTATATTAATATTAATATTATAATATTATAAAAATACTTTAATGAAAATAATATGTATTATAAATAGATTTTTTCAGTCAATACAAAAAAATTATACAATGAACGTCAATTTTAATAATATTTGTACAATATAAATCTATACCAAATCATACACATAGATACGCGTCAATAATACAAAATTAATATACATAAAAATATAATTAAATTTTCTTTGCTAATAATTATCAGCTTGTAGCTTATCGTATTTTCCGGTAATTTCGTATACGTTTTGCTTTAAATTGAGTATATTTGAATGTATATTAGTTAGCTATATTTAATTGAGTATGTACATATGTAACTTTTTCCGCCGTTTAGGAACTTACATATCTCCATATAAAAATAAGGAACCTAAAATATAAGTAGCGCAATTGGCGTACTGACCTAAAATTTAAGCGGCGCAATTGGTATACTGACCTAAAGTACAAATATTGTTTTAGGCGCAACTGGTCCATACCCGTAACAACTACCTAGTACCTAGGTATATATTGTTATTGGTATCATTGTGATATATGCGACGTATGTAATTTGTAAGTGATATTATTATAATCGTTGTATTCGTTTCGTTGCAGACGTCGATCCGCCCGGACCGCCTCAAGACCTGATGGTGTCGTCGTTGAAATGGACAAACAAGGATTACCAGCAATGTGTGCTGTCGTGGAAGCCGCCAGCCGAGTCCGTTTTACCCGTCCGAAAGTACAAAGTGTTCATCAGCGTACGCGACGGACCACACGTTTACCACAAACGGAATGTGGTCCCGGCAGTGAGTTAAATATGAAATATATATATATTGAGATTTGAGATATGGTACATCGTGACGACAAGTGGTGCAGTTCTAAAGTTTTTGAAATCCAGTGGGGTAGTAAACACCTACTATATTTCATTACACTACTTATGATATTATTTATAAATTATTATAAAACCTTGATGGATTTATCAACAGTTAATAACATTAATTACTAAAATATTCAATTCATCATAGCCCCGATAATCGATATCTTTCATATTTATTATCTTTATAGTACACAAAGTTAAATAACTCAAAAGTCGGAATTTCAAATTGGATACATCAATACATTTTATGTACTTAAAACAGTTCTTAAATGGTATAAAAATCTAAATATTTTAAAATATGGCCCTTTAGTATATTATTTAAAAGTTCTAAAAATTAGAGTTTTATTAACTTCATTATTATATGAAAACATTAGGATGAGCAATGAGCATGTCTTGTATACTGTTTAATCATCACATAACTGCATCAGCATTATATACCAAACTCACGAGGGATCTTAGTTAAACCTCCCTTAAAATATAACTGATCGTCAGCTTCCCATCCCCTGCACCAAAGCAAAATCCTGGCCATTCCATTGGGTTTTGTTATAGGTACTATACTGCCTAAGTATAAACATATAAGTTATAACACAAAGTCGATCTACCGCTTAGTAGGGCCAATACTATATACTCGTATTTGTCGAGTGAGTTTGAAAAAAATGTCTGTCATCCTCGGAATTTGCAAGTTGTCCCTTCGCAGTGAATGTATCATTAAAACACAACAAAAAAACTGTAGGCAGAACAAAGTTTAGTATATTACTATACTGTTACGATGTATAATACTTCATACCTAAGACCTACAATAATCATAATAAACGTTGTATTGTGTTCTGCTCTTCTGAAGTGATTGATACAGCCGCTAACCAGATTCTAGATATGAGAAAAAAATCTAATAATAACTTGAAAATCAAATTGACATATAAAATAATATATATTAGACGTGTTAAATGTAATGATATATTATTCATACCTAAAGGCTATAAGCTAAAGTGTACTTCATGAAAAAACAAACGATTTTGGTGATTGAAGTTCAATAAAATTGTTTATTATAATTCAATAAATAAGAAAGAACACATTAACATATATATGTGGTCCACGCACTATTAAAAAAAATTAAAATTAAATCATAAAGTTACATAATATTTTAAACTGAGTCAAGTTAAATATATTATTTGTCAACTATTAACTTCTATTTTAAGGATCTCGTGTTCACTTGACTTAACATTAATTAATTTTTTTTATTAACTTGCCTATTGTAGATAGAGCACTGGCGGAGATAAAATGAGGAGGAGGAGGAGGTGGGAGGAGGTGGGCGATGCAGGATAAAACGAAACAGTGAAAAGTCGTGTTATTATAATGTAGGTATAATATATAGGTCAAAGGCAGATAAAAATAGCGTTTATCTAATAGAACAATAGCAGGCAACCGTGATATTTACGGAGTCGAACCTCCTCCAGTGATTGACGTTCTGCTGCAGCTCGTCCGGCAAGTCGTCTTGGTTTTCGACCTGTTGCGTGTTCGATTTCAACAACACCGGCACGCTGTACCAGGCCGTCTTGCACAAGTTGCCGCTGCATGTGACCGACATGAGTTCCTTGGGGTAGTGGTTTTCGGTCAGATTGTAGACCAATGGGACTTCTGTGCAGTTGCAAGCTTCGGACGCGGTGACTGACAGGGTATCGGCGTACCTGCGCTGCTGCCATTCGTCCCGCTTCTGTTGCTGCTGCTGGTGGTGGTGGTGCCGTTGCTGCTGCTCGTTCCGGTGCCGCCACTGCTGCTGCTCTTCCCGGTGTCGCCACTGCTGCTGCTCGTCCCGCTGTTGCTGTTGCTCGTCACGCTGCTGTATCAGGTTGACAGTAGCGTGGTGGTCGGCGGCGGCGAACCGATCGAATGATTCGTCGTTCGGCATAGGGTCGTACACCAATTCCCATCTCACTTTCTTGGCCATCGACAGACATGAGACCGACACGCATGACACCAACGCCTGGTGGTTTCACATGCGAAAAAAATATTATTATATTAATATTATGTTTGAGGAGGGGATTGGGGAATTACATAATTCACAGCTAAGAAAAGACACGAAAGGAAGCTTACCACCAAGGAACCATCTGCCATATGGTCAACATAGAAGTCACTAAATAGATTTTAAACAGAAACCTTAAGGACTTTAGGAACGAAAAATGGTAAACAAAAAAGGTTGGAAAATTAGAATGTGGCGAGGAACAATTAACAAGGCAAAGACCGTCTGTTTGCAGGTCCACTATTATAATCAACCGATTAAGTGTAGAAAGAAAAATGATATGACGGCAACTGATATTTTAAACAAGGTGATTTAGCTACTTTTTGCCTTTTTGGGGAGGAGAAGGATTATAGGAATATAAAGCTGAATACTGACACGAAAAAAAAGAAGAACTGATAATGATCACAGTTGGGTGGGTACATGTGTGGATGTCGATAAGGGTCTTGGCTAGACGTTGCCATATTTGCGACCGCGTCATAATAATAATAATAATAATAATAATAATAATAATAACAATTTCGACAATTTTGCAAAAGTCTAGAGTTTCAGCAGTTTTCGGCTTATGAAAAATATAAATAGGTAGGTAGTTCATAATATAGCGACAACTATTATTGTATTATAAATTTATACATAACGGTGAACGGTAAGTGGAGATTTCTGTAAGTGCCCAAATTTAAATGACTCAGACAATTATTTTTATAATCATTTTTTAGTAAACTAATTACTGCACGGGGTGGATAAATGAAAGAATAAGTATTTATTGGAAACTATGATATTGTCCTATTCCTAAAATTAATATCAATGAAAATAATTATTACATCTCATTCTTGTGATATTTAAATTAAAGCATACCATCTACCATTAAATACTAGTATTTATAATCCATGCTAATACCTATCTATTACAATAATTATTAGTGTATAATAATATTATGGTTATAAATTGATGTCACCAAAGGCATTCAACAATATAAAACACACTTATATCACAGAATACATTAAATCTATAATAGATTTAATATATTCTCTGCTTATATCATATATATTAATGTACCGCTTATATAAAATATGTTGTTAAATAAAAAGTTGTTTTTTTATAGGGGAGTAAGAGGGGCTAAATATGTGTCCCGTTTTTTAAATTGTCATTCATCAGTTTATCACCCCAGAAATCATAAGATATGTAGACTAATATAATTGATTTAAAAGACATCTCGCCGTATTGAAATTAATGCATGCCTGACAACAAAACACTCGCAAACGAATAATACCAAAAAATACGACCATTAACCATTATATCGTGATGGGTCAGGAACGTTACCATCCGGCCACCAACAGATATATCTACCGTCTTATATAGTCCTACACATTATATTATTATTATAACGCTGTATTAATGGTCCGCTTGGATGAAAAAAAAAATATCATTGGACCAACAAAAGATAAATACCTAACCTTATTTATATATGTTGGTTTGTTGATACACTTTTCATGTTAATGATGCGATACAACAAAGGGCAAACATAAAAACAATCGTTTTAATGTAATATTAATTAACTCCCTAAAAATATATTTAACTGGTTGCTTTTAATAAATGACAAAATCTATACCTCGTTAACTTTTATATTTGATATTTTCTGTCTAATATCGGATTACTTATAAAAGTGAATACACTTGCAGTAGTATGTAAAGGTTACGGATAGACAAAGACATTAAATACGTGATAAGTAAATCTATGTAAGTGCTCTGTTCTAACTTTTAAGTAGGTACCTACTAAATATACAAAGTAGAAAATTAAGGGTAAAAAAAATTATAACCATCTATTTATTTATTGTAAGTAAGAGAGTAAGTTTGATTGTAAAACATTAAGTTTGTTTCTTAGGGGAAGTAGAGCTTCTTGGAAATTTTCGTTATTACTTATTAAGCTCTACTTGATAAGTTTACTCAAAATATAATTTGGTAAAATTATAGATAATATTTAATCAGGATCTATAATTATTATGTATGTTTTTGTACGATAGGTATTTTCTTTATTTTGGTTGTTAATTATTCTTATAATATAAGGTGTAATAAAACTTTCGAAAAATATTAAAACATATTACAAGTTTACTGCCAGTCGTGGTAAAAAAAGAGATTGTATGTTACATTAGAATAGCTTTGAGTTAATAGAAAAAAATGCATAGTATTTATCAAAGGCATAATAATATGATCTAGACAATTTGATTAAGTAGTGTTATTTAACTTTTACTCATCACAGAATCGTATAGGTTAATGCAAATAATATATTTATGCATACCTATATACTTTATTTATTGAAACATTAAAAAAATAGTATAAATATTATTAGTTGCTTTTGAAAACTCATTAACAATTTATTAGGAGTAAGAAAACAAGAAATGTATACGAAGGTATATTATAATATTGAATAACAATGAATGCCATCAGGTTAGATATATCTTTCAATTCAGGAAATTCATATACTATATAATTATGTTCTGTATATAAAATGTGCGTGTTTAGATTTAATTTAAACATTTTTTTTTAATAACCTAGTAAATTTTGGGAATTTAAGATCCCTAGTCATTTAAACTAATAAAATCTAACTTACGTGGTTAAGTTTTTTTTAACTTAGGGCATAATTATTGTTGAGTATCAAATGAAATTTAAATAACCAATTTATAAAAATTTACCTAAAAAATGTACTTACGTATAATGTCCAAAACGAAATACTGCCCAAGACAACATGCATCGTTCGAATGAAATGAATGTACTGAGGTCTCATGAACTATCCCTCCACTATAAATAGAACAGTATTATATTTAACAATATATAACAATAGAACTACCCTCGACTTATCCTAATGGACCACGTAACAAGATAGGTGTTTCGCAACTATTATTTTGTCGCACGATGACGTCATTTATCTGTATGAAAAACATTATTATATAATTTTTTCCCCCTCTGGCTAGGATATTTTGAGGTTTACAATCAAAAAGCTGAACTCAAATTCCGAATATTTTCTTCAAGTGCAAGCCATTAGCGAATTCGGAAGAAAAAGATTCGCTGGTCAAAAGGCTTCGACAACCCTGAAAACCAAAGGTGAATGAAAATGTAATATGTGTACCTATTTAACTATATTATACACTTAAATAGTGTGTATTTGTATAATTTTAGGTTAATCGGCATAATATTATGAATATTTATTTATTTTTCAATCTGTTTTTACAGTGCGCTCTTAATATTATATACTTATATTATTAAAACATAATTAATTATGCGATAGAACTTATTAATCAACTTTATCTAGAGTTTTATATGTACCGATATATCTGGTAGTACTTAAATTTAATGAAATAATATTGAAGTGATGCTTATCAAAAAACTAAGATGACATTAAATGGTTAGTTATTTTAGTTAAATTTACCTTTAACTTGGGTTACTACTTATACATACTACTTAGCGTCTTTCAGTGTACTACTCTGTTAATTAAAATCAATCACCTTTAGCTTACTGTTTCCTGAATTATACCTAATTTAAATTATTCTTATTTTTTTTTTCCAATAATTCGAAACAAAAAAATGTTTGTTTATTTTAATAACAACTACTTAAATTGTATTACTTACCTACATTTTAGAGATGGTTCAAGTGTGCAACTATTGGTAAAACCGTTAATTTAAAAATATTCAAAATGTATTCAAACAAAAATGTAGTTTATAATAAGAGCCACAATATTTTCTGTGTGTAGTTTCCTAAAGTAAAAATACATTAAATACGTACATAATGTGTTAAATACTTGTAACGATTTGTTGAAATCGAATAAAACAAATTAGGAACTACTGATTTTATAGGTACATCATTATGTACTTCTCGATTTTCAATGAATATTTTGACTTTAATTTATTATACATAATATATTCATTAAGACATAGAGGTTAGACTAAATAATTAATATCTATAACGTATAATTAAAAACTGATATTGTAATTAAAGAATGAAAACAAAAAAATTTTTTGATTTATTGTTTCAGGAAAAAAAATATTAAATTCTAAAGAAATCACGGGAATTAAAATTGTGGTTATAGGCGATCCTGACAGTCGTAATTTAATTAATGCTAGACTATCTTGGAGACCAGTGACGATGACATTAAAGAAATTCCATTACACGTTATCGTGGTCTTCTAAAGATTGCAATGATGAGAGTAAGCCATTAAGAGCAAGAACTGAAGTGAGTAAATTATTTTTAGGTTGGATACTATCGTCTTTTGATATTAAATATATTAATAAACATATGATATTATGTTATATATATTTATTAAGTAATATGTTATTACATTATATTATGTATTATTGTATTCTTCTATAATATATCAACTTTATCTTTTGCAGTTCTTATTTAAAATATTATACAAAGCATTTATTTTTTGATAATAATGAAAAATAAAACAGATATTTTATATTAATTTAAAATTAAATTAAATTATTAAATTAAATTAAATTATCATTCAAGTAAATATTTTTAATTCGTATATACTTGCTCACGCATAAAATTATAATAATATGTTGTAATACTTGTGTGTAATATTATATATATATATATATATATATGCAATTTTATTTTAATTTATGTTTTTTCATTTTTTAACACAGTTATTAAATGTTAATTAGTTATATTTCTAATCTTTAATTTTCGTGTAATATTGTTTTAGGTGCCGTACTTTGATTTATTTTCATTAAAACCACAATGCGAGTATTTCATTATAGTTTCAACTACATTTAATGGATCCAAATACGTGGGTTCATTTAGTTTTACACCTACTGTATTGAAGCTTTGAAAATTGAAATACTTGTATAAATGTTACTTTATTTATACTTTCTAGAAAAATAAGAAATTATAAATAGTGTTGAACTAATGAACGATAGAAATGTAGCAATA